GAAATGCTCAGTATGCACTAGCAACTCCCAGCATGTACCAGCAATACCCAGCATGCACCAGCAATGGCCAGTGTGCACCAGCCATGCCCTGCAGGATGATGTCCTAACAGCAACACTGCCCTTGGCCTACAGGAACTGTCTCTAAAGAACATGGCTGATGGGCTGGGAAGGCGGCTCAGTGGTAGAGTGCTTGCCTTGCATGTATGAGGCCCTGGGTTCGATTCCTCAGCACCACATAAGCTGAAAAAAGCCGAAAGTGGCACTGTGGCTCAAGTGGTAGAGCGCTAGCCTTGAGCTAAGAGTTGATGGACAGCGCCCAGGCCCAGAGTTCAGGCCCCATGCCCGACAAAAAAAAAAAAAACATGTCTGTTGCCAGGTGCTGGTGGCTCACACCTATAATCCCAGATACTCAAGAGGCTGAGATCTGGGGATCGAAGTTCAAAGCCAGACTGGGTAGGCAAGTCCATGAGGCTTTATCTCCAATTAACCACCAGAAAAAAAAAAAAAACAGAAGTGGAGTTGTGGTCCAAAGTGATAGGGCTCTAGTCTTGAGCACAAAAAGCTCAAGGTCAGCTCCCGGGCCCCAATTTCAAGTCCTACGACCCAAAAAAAAAAAAAAAAAGAAAGAAAGAAAGAAGAAAAGAACACAGCTATCCCTCAACATATTGATAATGGCCTTAGAAATAAATTATCTCCTGGGTGCTGGTGGCTCACACTTGTAACCCAGTTTAACTACTTAGGAGCTGAGATCTGAGAATTGTGGTTCAAAACCAGTTGGAACAGGAAAGACTGTGAAGTTCTTATCTCCAATTAACCATGAGGAAACCAGAAGTGGAGCTGTGGCTCAAAGTGATAGATTTCTAGATTTGAACAAAAGAGCTCATGGACCGTGTCCAGGCCCTGAGTTCAAGCCCCACGGCCAACAAATTAAAATATAAATAAATAAGTAAATAAATAATCTAAGACCATGTACTGCTGGCTTGTTTGTAATCCTAGCTACTCAGAAAGCTTAGATCTGTGGATTATGGTTGGAAGCTAGCCTGAGCAGGAAAGTCCATGAGACTCATCTCCAATTAACCACCAAAAAGCTGGGCTCCTGTGCGTTTGAGGCGCTCTGCCACCTGAGCAGCGCCGGCCTTTGCGCTGAGCTCGGCACCGGGCCAGGTCTGCATTCACGTCCAGGTACAGCGCACACCTGTAAGCCTGGGGGGAGGGGGGGACTGACCCACGGCCGGCCCACCGGACAAGATCCTGAGGCTCTTCGCCAACTAGGCGTGGCATGCCCTCCCCTCCCTCCCTCCCTGCCTCCCCACGGCCCTCCCTGTGCGGCCCCAGGAATCCCCCTCCCGCACCTATGGATGCTCTGGTCCCAGGGGCGGCGCCTGGCGCACAGACCCCAGCAGACAGCGCGAGCAGGACAGCAAGACAGGAAGACACCCCAGACCATGCACCTGCCCTGGCCCGCCCAGTACCCGACCTGCACCCCCAAGCACCCCAACCCCCTCCCGCACTCAGGCTTCTAGAAGCGCTTGCGGCCAGCCCCGCCCCCTGCTCCCGGCCCCGCCCCTCACTCCGGTTCTTGAAGCACTAGGGCCGGCCACGACCCCCAGCTCCTGGCCCCGCCCCTGGCTCCCGGCCCTGCCCCCTGCTCCTGGCCCCGCCCCTGGCTCCCGGCCCCGCCCCTCACTCACTCCAGCTTCTTGAAGCGCTCGCGGCCGGCCCCGCCCCCTGCTCCCGGCCCCGCCCCCTGCTCCCGGCCCCGCCCCTCACTCACTCCAGCTTCTTGAAGCGCTCGCGGCCGGCCGCCACGTACTTGCCGCCGGCCTGCAGCGCGTCGAGCTCGCGCACCATGCGGCCCCGCGAGGGCGTGTAGAGCCGCCGCACCCCGAAGGGCACCTCCACCTGCTCCGTCAGCTGCTCCAGCAGCGCCTCGAAGTTGGCGACGCGGCGCCGCGAGAACACGAACTTGCGGCCCACGAAGAACTGGTCCCCGTTGCGGTACACCAGGATGGTCTTGGCCGGCGTGGTGTCCACCAGCGCGTAGGGCCCGCGCGTGCCCATGGCCGGGCCCCGGGCCGCGCCCGCTC